ATGAGTTTTTCTATGAAGAGAGGGAGCTAACAAGACAAACATTAGAAAACAAAACAAAACAAACTTTGACATCAAAACCAAAATGAAAGCATAATACGGCCCCTTTGACTTTAAACAAGGTGGATGAGAGAATCAAGAACAGATTTGGACACACAGACCAAAAGTCGTGCATCAAAATTTTGAGTCCCAAGTAGACGGAAAATTCTCATACCAGTGTCTTAAAGAGAAGACGACGGAAAAAGCAAATCTTGCCTAAGAAATCAGAAGTGGAAAAGCAAAATATTACCTCCCAGAGGTAGATGATGCCGGATGGTCCTCCTCCCATGATGTAAGTGCCTTCTGAATTGGAAACAAGTGGTCCAATCGGCTCAGCCGGGAAGCTCCTAACTTCCACCTGAGGCTGAAACATAGAGCGAGAATTATGAGATCGTTTATACAACACGAGTATGAAACAGGGCGTGAAGTGGTGATGTGGAAGAAAGGTTCGGATTAGGACTCACCTTATCCCAGGACCAGAAGAAAATGGGGCAAGAGGCGGAGGAAGGGGAATCGCGGAGCTGCGAGGAAGCGAGAAAGCGGCCGGCTATGGAGAGGAGGCCATGTGGAGCGGAGGAGCACGAGCGGTACCGGAGCTGCTCGGAGCCCGAGCGTAGGTCCCAACAACCGATGCCGACGTCCACCGGGGAGGAGGCGATCACCACTTCCATCGGTGGCGAAGAGGCGCCGCCAAAGAAAGAAGGGGTTTTGAGGATTTTAGAGTAGGCGTTTCGGATCACGAGAGTATAAACAGAGCTCGCGGGCTACCACGGTGCGTATATGCTATCTCTGTCACCTTCAAGCAAAATATGAGCAGAAACTGCCTATCTCTTCTTAAGGTTCCGGCGGGGTTGTGCGGCACTCTTCACCCTCCACCGTGATCGGACTTCCGGAGCACCGCTGGCGCGTCGTCGGGGACAACGGAGGAGAGGAGTATTCGAAACGCCGGGGACTCTACGAAGGTGGTGGCGGAGGCCAAGAAGTGGCCGGAGAAATCGAGGAGGCGGAGGAGGAGCCTGCGGACGCCGCTCTTGGCGCCGATTGCTCCAAGCAGGTGCTAAATCGTACCCTCCGGTTTTGTTTTCCCATGTTTGTCCACATCGATCTAACGGATGAGATCCATTTGCTGAGAGCATCTCAACCGTTAATCGATGTGTATAACACCTATGATCTTATTGAACACCGACTTCGATCCACAAGATAGGCTAATGCAATGAAGAGAGAGCCTAACTGGGTGAGCAAACGGATCAGTTATTGGGTTAAACGAATCCGAATCCGCATATAAATTCAAATAATACTAAATTCCAGTATTTATTTTTTATATGTGGCTTTACATGTCTATATACTTTAACATATATTCCTTTCCAAATTTTAATATCTCATTTCCATATATAACTCATACAACTTATTACAAGATACACTACACACATATAATACACACATACACAAACAACTCATAACACATACATACACACATAACTCATAACATACACAACATACACATACAAATAACATACACTAACACACACACATACACATGCAACTTATAACACATATCACATACACACATACACACACAAACAACACACAACATACAACCAACACATACTACACACACACAACATGCACATATACACAACACACAAACACACACAACATACACAACTCATAACATAACAACATACAAACAACACACAACTCATAACACAATATACACACAACTTATAACACACACTACACACACACAACACACAAACAATACACTATACATACAAACACACACCACACACACATAACATATACACACAACTCATAACACACACTAAACACACACAACTCATAACACAATACGCACACATACACACACAACTTATAACACACACTATATACACACAACACACAAATAATACACTACACACACACATAACATATACACAACTCATAACATACACACAAACAACACACACATAACTCATAACAACACATACTACACACACATAACATACACTAAATAACATACAAAAATATCATATAACACAAACAACGCACAATACAAAAAGACACACACACAACATATAATATACAAAACACACACACACATAATGCATAACACATACACAAACAATACACACAACACACTACACACATATAACATATACAAAACACACATACACACGCAACTTATAACACACACCACACACACACAAACAACACATACTACACACACAGCACACACTACACACACATATACACAATGCACAAATACACATAACATACACAACACACAACTCATATCAATACACACACAACTCATAACATACATACACAACACACAAATAACACACACTACACATACATAATATACACGACTCATAATACACATACAAACAACATACACTACACACACACATAACATATAAAAAATATACACATACATACGTAACTTATAACACACCACACACACAAACAATATACACATAAGACACAGCACACAAACAATACACCTGACATGTAGCACGTGAAGATACTTTCATCTTTTTATTCGCTTGAACATATTTATTGTTTTTTACTCACATTTTTCGGAGAGCATTCTTTTTAATCAGCCAAATTAATGCCCTTTTAAATTTTGTGTTTTGCACCTTTTAGTTTAAGGAATATTATATTTAGTAAAATGATTAAGGTTTATTTAACCTTAATGGTTTAGATCTTGGATCTCTTAAGTTTTTATGATTTACTCATATTTAAAATAATTTATATATTTTTAAAATTTTAATATATAATTTTTTATCAGTTAATAAACGTTAAAATTTATTTATATGGTATGTTAAATCATAATAAATTATTAATATAATGATATATGTAATTTAGGATTAAGGTTCATTTTCTATGGTTTTGGTCATGGATCTCTTAAGCCCTTATAATTTACTCATATTTAAAATAATTTTTATATTTTAAAAATATAACATATAAGTTTCTCGTTAAGTCTAAGTTAACAGATGTTATAGTCTACTTATATTATGGATGTTACTCATTAGCTTCAAGGCGTATGTCATCACGTCTCTTATCACGGTGTTGTCTACTATTATGAATAACATTCGCTCCAATCTCGATAAGTATCATGATACTTTGTAAGTCATCTCTCTCATGAAGCACGACATCATGAAGATAGAGAGTAAGTGAAAGAAGCGATTGAGTTAGTCCATGGAGCCCTCCTATACTCGCTCGCTCTTCTCGATCGACTTATTAAGGAAAAGAAAGAAGTGAAGGTTGTAGCGATGGATGAAAGTAAAGATGTAGAGGTAGCAGAGGTCGGAGGCGAATGCGAGGGAGGGCTGGACCATCATGTCCTAGGTGTGATGGGTGAGCGCATAAGAGAGGATGAAGTGGAAGGTGATAGGGATGAAGACATCGAGGAGGAAGAAGAGGGACCAAGAGATTATTGCATGCTTAGCGTCAGATTGGTCGACGCATATCCACTAGGCAGGATCAGAAGCTCCTAAGTTTATCGTCAATACGAGAGAGGCCATGTACGTACGGTGCCTTGCTAGGTAATAGCAACTCAGTATTATTGTTGGTGATCACTTCCATGATGTCTTTCGCTATTGTTTGAGGTCTTAATTTTTTTAAATTTAAAAAATATATATCATTATATTAATTATTTATTGTGAGCTAATATATTACGTAAGCAGACTCTAACGTTTGTTAACTCAAAACATGACGAGAGGGTCTTATATGTTATGTTTTTTAAAATGTACTAGTTATTGTAGACACAAGTATACCATAAGGGCCTAAGAGGACTATGGCCAAAACCATATGGGCTAAAATGGATTTTAATCTTAAATTACATGTATCATTATATTAATGATTTATTGTGAGTTAATATATTACGTAATTAGACTTTAACATCTATTAACTCAAATTTGACGGAAATGATTTATATGTTATGTCTTTGAAAATATAGAGATTATTTTATGCTTGAGTATACCGTAAGAGTTTAAGAGGTTAATGACTAAAACCGCAAGAATTAAAATAGATATTAACCCTTACAAAGTTGAACTCTCATATTCCATTCAAGAAAACAAGAAAACACTTTTAAGTAGACAAATCATTTATGCTTATTTCACCTGTCACTCTCCTTCAAACATGATTTTGTATTTTTATTTTTATTTTCTCAAACCTCAGATCTGAAGAACTCTTTTGATTCAAACTTTCTTTCCATATTGTTTTTTTTCATTCTTCTTTCCATATTTTAGATCTATAACAAAGGTTTATGTTTTTCAATGATTTTATCGTGTAACATAATTTCTCAAGCTACTTCCCTATATAAGCAGCGAAATGAAAGGGTTAAGATTGAAGATCCCTGTCTCATGAGTCGGTGGGTGAAATTAAAGGTTCTCCCCAAGCTTGTGACTCTTGAGTACCGCTGCTTCACGAGAAAGTACAATTCGGTGAAAAGCCAACCGTCAGCAAAACTTCTCCGGCAGATCCTAAATGCGATCGCGACTCACAAACTGGAAGCAACAAAACTCGAGACGTGGACACTGGTTGCCCCGGGGACACCAAGGAAGACCATTAATTTGTTCAGTGGCATTAAAGCTGTTGCACGTCTAATTGAATACTTGGTAGGATCTAATTGAATATTTTTAATATTAAAACTAGTCAAAGAAAAAGAAAAGATATCTTCCTCCGCCTGATGCGTACCCTATGTTTGTTTACCCTCGTGTCCCACGCTTGTTTTTATTTATTTGTTTATTTTTCCCAGGGTCAATCCGACTGCCGGATTCTTCCAGAAAGTGTGGAAACGAAGCCAATGCCGTGAGAACAAACCCACCTCGCAGAGAAGTAAACAGCATCGGGTCCCGGTTTTGACCGCGCCGATGAACTTTTCTGTCTGTGGAGTCATCTTTTCGGATTTCGCCGTCTGTACGTCGATCAAAGAGAGCCGGAGGGAAGGAACGACAAACCAATGCGCTATCTTATGGCTGCCTCTCCATATCTGAATCAACCTTCGAATTTCTTGGTCCCCAATCATGTTGTGAAATTCTACCCAACTTTTAACAAATCCAATTTCTTTTGACTCGAGGTTAGGTTAAAGACCGAAAACGAAGGAACGTATACCGTGTCCATACTGCGGTGATTGCATCAAGGTTAGGTTAAAGAACGATTTAAATATACGTAAATTTCGCTGACACACATCCAATCTCTGACGTGTCTTCACATCGAGTCGAAGGGAGAGGGAGAAGCGGTGAACTCGGGCCTCCGGATCGTGACGTTCCAAGCCGTGACGGCTCCCTCTTTGGAAGGGAGGAAAAATAAACCTGCTCGACCCACCTCTGGTTGATAGCCGCGTGCCCCCTGCTAGAGGGGGACAAACGGGAGACGGACTGGGCTCGGGACTCCGGACTCCTCACGGAGTGTTCCAACTTGGTCTGCCGTGCCCCAGGTCGGCACCTGGAGCATTTTCGGCCTTATAAATAGGCCGTGCGACCCTGAAACTTCCATCTCTCTTCTTCTCCACGTTGCCTTCTCTCCCTGTTTCGATTTCTTTCACTTGTGTTTTCTCTTTATTGCTTCTATTATATTGGAGTTTGATAAATAATAACAAGGGATGCGGTTCTCGGCGTCCTTCCTGGATCGAGCGTCGCAAGCGATACGACGGCGCCCTACCATCTCCAAGCTTATCGTGATATGCGCACTCAGGTCCCCTACTCTCCTTTTCGTTGGTTGATTTCTCCTTGGATCTCTATTTGCACCTGTAGATCTGATTATTTTTCCATTATATTTTGCTTTCGTTTCTTACGGTTTGGTCTAGCAATATCCGATTCTTTCCTGCGTTGTGCTCTCTTAATCTGCTAACATTTTGTTGTTGTTTGCGTTCCATAATATGGCCAGTCTAAGTTGTTTATGCAAGAATTCTTTCAGATTTTCTTTCTTATCTTTTATATCCTTACTCAGCGTGGTCTTAGTTTCTCTGGTTCTTTGGTTCGTTATCGAGTGACGTCGAAATCTCCATAGAATTTGACGCCTAAACTAGGAGACTTAGGTTATATGTGACACTGGACTTGTGAGTATTTAAGGAAGTTAGAACTTCTTAAAATACCTTGCCTTTCATCAGGGCAAGAAGGGGGGAATATCGTCTTAATAAATCTTTTTTTGTGTTTTTGTTCTTTTCCCCACCAAATAGTATTTAATCTTCTTCTTTCTGTATCTCTCTGTATCTTATTCGTGGTGCTTTATATTTGTTATTGGCATTCCTTGGATTAATACCGGAAAAGATATTGATAGACCATTTGATCTGCTTCCTGGGTTGAAGAGGACAGGAGGGTGAGATACCTTGGAAGGGTGTATTAAAGCTAATGAATTGTGGATCAGCCTCGCCTGTGGATTAATGCTTGGCTTCCTGCTTTATCTGGAACATCACTGTGAATTGGTGCTCAACATATGACCCGAACACTACTGATGATGCGGGATCACTACTCCATTATTCCGAAATAAAACTAAAGTAAGAAGAAATAAGAAAAAGAGAACCTCATAGGTTCTTGGAGTCAAAAGCTTTAAAGGCGGACTAGTGGATCCTAAAGGACAGTCTGTGGATGTTTGGACGTGACTATGTACCATCTAGAAACAATTATGTGATGCCATAGTGCCTTTAGTATTTTTCTTTTTTGTGATGCATTCTAGAGTTTATTCTTTACTTTTCATCGGTTTGGATGCCTGATGCCTTTTTGCACAAAGGAAGGCTAGTGGTTCATGATCATTGTATTTATTCATTATTTCTCACCCTTCTGATAGACTCCTGCTCTTATCTATCTTCCCATGGATAGTAAACATGATAAGTAATACTTCTTCTTCTCTTCTTGCAGTAGTGGTGGTGTTCTGGCATATGCTGACGCAAAGTCCGACCATGATTTTGAAACATCTGAATTAACCAGAAAGAAAAAGTTGGTTGTTCTTGGAACTGGTTGGGCTGGTACTAGCTTCTTAAGAAACTTAGATACCTCACAATATGATGTACAAGTGGTATCACCTCGTAACTACTTTTTATTCACTCCTTTGCTACCAAGTGTCACGTGTGGAACAGTGGAGCCACGTAGTATTGTAGAGCCAATTCGCAAGATCATGCACAAGGTACTTATCCAGTATTTTAATGGACACTTTCTTTTTTCTATTTTCGCATACAAAAACAGCGAGGTATTTTCAAGTGTTGCCATTCTTGAATCTCTGCTGACTTTTGTTATTATTGTTTCATCTATCCTTGGAAATTTGTTCTCACTAACTTTTATTGCTACAGAAAGTTGGAGGAATTAAATTTTGGGAAGCTGAATGTTATAAGATTGATCCAACTAACAAGAAAGTCCTCTGCTGCTCTAATATCTGGACAAACATGGATGGAAGTGGTGAATTTGCTGTAGATTATGACTACTTAGTCATTGCACTTGGAGCAAAGCCAAATACCTTCAACACCCCTGGTGTGGTGGAGAACTGTCATTTTCTTAAGGTGTACTTCTACCTGCTGTACAGAATTCCAGGCCATTCCACTGTTCGATTTAATTTCATAATAAGTTAGCATATGGGAGAGTTTTTTAGCTAAAATATAGAACATAAAGGTTACTGAACTAGTTGTGGACAAGGTTGGGTGCTATTGTGGGAGATGTTTTTGCATAAACTTTTTTTTCAGTGTTTCTTTATTGAAAATTTCTGATTCATTTGACAATAATATCATCTGTTATCCAAATCCTTTACCCTTTTTGTGTTTATTGAAATATCTTCTGTTTGTTTTATTTTTATGATCTTCTTCTGCTAGTTTAAAAGCCAAAAGTTAAAGAGCTTAAGCAAATGAGACATCCTTTTGTAGGAAATAGAGGATACACAAAGAATTCGAAGGAGTGTCATGAACTGCTTTGAGAGAGCCAGTCTTCCAGAGCTTAGTGAAGAAGATAGAAGGAAGAATCTTCATTTTGTCATTGTTGGTGGCGGTCCAACTGGTGTTGAATTTGCAGCAGAATTGCACGATTTTGTGAGTGAAGATTTGGCCAAATTGTATCCTACTGTGAAAGACTTGGTGAAAATTTCAGTAATTGAGGCTGGGGACCATATTTTGACAATGTAAGAATTATCCAAGTGTGATGTTGATCTGCCTATATTGCTGAATCATATCTTTTGTCGACCCTTGAAATATAGGCACTTAGTTATAACAGTTACTTGTTTCTGACATCCAAGCTGCAACTAAAAGAAAAAAAAGATTTTGTCTGTCACTAATTCTTATCACTCGTGCCATGATTATATATATATATATATATATATATATATATATATATATATATAAAGTGCTTAGATCTATCCCTTTCTTTCTTATTCATGTGATTACTTCAGCAAACAAATATTACCCTTGTTCTTGAATGACCTTTTTTTTCTTTCTATCACCTTAATCAATGTTTTTAAAAAGGCAGTTTATGCTGCTGCATTATACAATCTGATCATATCAGAACATTGCATAAGGTGTGGTATTACAGCATTTGTGATGTGGAACTGCATGTGTGGCTGCCTACTATTTTGCAGGTGCTTTTGTGGTCATCCAAGTATTGAACATTTTGATTGCATTCATGTAATATTCTTCCTTATTGCTATTGGTTATATAATTGTATTAGTTTAATGTTAAAAATTACAATCAATGATAACATGCTTGGGTCGAATATGCTTTTTCATGGTTTTTATTACTTAACTTTTTAAAGAGCATAGATATCATTCTTTGTAAGTTTAGGATTTTGTTTTACTTTTCTTTTTGTTTACTAGTTTGTACTTTATTGTTCTTTATCATGTTAATCTGAACCATGATGTGCTCACAGATGCATCCCCAAAACTGCATATGTGCTATGCAGTAACTTGATTGCCCACACATCATATAGTCTCTCTTTTGAACTTTCACGTAGAAGTCATGTATGCACTTATTTGAAGGGAAACACTTAGTACTGTGACTGGTAATATTAAATATCACAAATACAGCTTCACAGATTTATCATTTGCAGTCACAAATGGGTGTGTTCTTGGTCTAAACAAAGATATCATGATAAAAGAATGTATAATTGATCTATTCCAAGGGTATGACTGATTTATCCATAAAGGTCATAATTGAGAACTAGTGTTTATTTGTTGTTGATATTAACATGTAGGTTTGACAAAAGGATAACAGAATTTGCTGAAGAAAAGTTTCAGAGAGATGGTATTGATGTCAAAACAAATTTCCGGGTTGTTAAGGTGTCTGATAAGGCCATCACTATGACTAGCGCATCATCAAGAGAGATATCAGTACCCTATGGAATGGTTGTTTGGTCTACTGGTATTGGTACCCGTCCAGTTATACTGGATTTCATGAAACAAGTTGGACAGGTTAATTACTATTCTTATTCTCCAGAATCATTGTAACTTTGGTCTTTTTCAGCATATGCTGACTGATGCCGTTTTGTGATTTAATTTTTCATATCTGTTTTTCCTTTAATAAAGGCTGATAGGCGTGTATTGGCCACTGATGAGTGGTTGAGAGTACCAAATTGTGATGGTGTGTATGCGCTCGGTGACTGTGCCACAATAAGCCAGAGAAAAGTCATGGTATGTTTGAAGCAATGGTCCATATATGTGTTTTCTTAAGATTGTCTTATTGAGTGTTTAGTATGCTTGTTGAGACTTGTTCAAAAAATTCCTTTTAATCCTTTCCTTTTCTCCTTTCTGTTTTATGAAATTATCTTGCACTTAAATCTTTCTTAGAGCCAAAGACTAATTTGTTGTGTTGTCAATGCCACACAAATCTTGCGAATTACCTAGTAGACATGTTAAAGTAACTCAGAAATTATTCAATCTACCCTTTTATTTTCTTTACCGAAGAATTTATTCATGTTCTTTAAATCGATGCAATTTCTATCCTCTAGTATAAATAATTTTCTCAGAATACCAATCTAATGCAAATTTTATTTCAGGAAGATATCTCTGCAATCTTTAGAGTTGCAGATAAAGATGATTCTGGAACTTTAACTGTAAAAGAAATCAAAGATGTACTAGATGATATCTGCGAGAGGTACCCCCAGGTGGAGCTTTACTTGAAGAGCAAACAAATGAAAGATTTTATAGATCTATTTAAGGATGCAAATAGCAATGCTGTCAAAGAATCTAAGGAATTGAATATTGAAGAGTTTAAGAAAGCTCTTGCTGATGTGGATTCACGGGTTAAGATGCTTCCTGCAACTGCCCAGGTATATCTTCAACTGAACTGCCTTTCCCAAAGACAAGGGAGAATATTTTCAAGATATTATTTTGAGAAAGGGATTTTTTTTCATCTTCTCTCTTTTGTCTGTGTAATATTCCAGGTTGCTGCACAACAAGGTAACTATCTTGCTAAATGCTTTAACAAGATGAAGATATGTGAGGAGAACCCTGAAGGTCCCCTCCGTATGAGAGGATCGGGTCGTCATCGGTTTCATCCCTTCCGGTAACCGTTCTATGCTGTTTGATTTCCTTGTTCTTTTTGATATGCAAGTTGCTATCTCATTAAAATATATCGCCTTTTAAGTTTCATTGGATATCGTATGATTTCAAGTGCATTTCTGAAAAAAAAAAACCATATTTTCTGCTGTTTCTGTTCTGGACTACAATATCATCACTTGAACTTCTACCCTGAAACCTTGCTTCTATTTTTGATCAAATTTGTGTTCCTTTTAAATGGTCATTTGTATTAGAGGAATTTCCTCTGGAGGTGCTTCTTCCTCTTTATCTTCCAAATCCATTTTTCCTGTTGTGACTTAATCTTTGAATCAAATAAGTTAAACAAAGACCAGATAACATTTTATTTGTTAAGCTGCATAATTGGATTTAGAAATGAAATCATGGAACCATGACCATTAACACAAAAATCATGCTCTGTTGTACCTTATGAATGTCCTCCAGTGATTACATAAATCACGCATATCAACTTATAAATCATTGCAAGAAAAATCATATATTACAAAGACTCGTTAACTCATCTAGTAATTATACACAGTTTACTGAAAGACAGTATAAATAACTAGATTAGGAAAGAGAATATACACTTGTTGTAGAAGATGACTACAGCCAATATGCTTAGATCCATAGATTATTAAATGTTTGTCTATCATAGTTATGACAGTTACAGAATGAAAGAATGAGTCTAGCTAAATATTTCTAACTAATAACTCAAGCATATGGCATATAATGGTTACAGATGCAATGAAGTGGACTTGCTCCATGTTTGCTCATCACAGTGATGGCAGTTACAAAATGAATTTACACACTTAAAAAAGACTAGAACATTTTGCAGTGATGATGTGATATCCTCTGGCCAAATAGCAGAATCCTCCTTATAACTCGTTTCCCAACTCACAAAGAAACTACTGCACTTTCCTATATTTGCAACCATGTCATCTTGTTTTACAAGCTAAGTTGCTGAAATCATGCATCTCTATTAAGTACATATTGCTGGCATTTATTTATTGTCTCGTTTCTCTTTGGGTGATAGGTATAGGCACTTTGGTCAATTTGCTCCTTTGGGTGGAGAGCAAACAGCTGCACAGCTGCCTGGAGATTGGGTTTCTATAGGCCACAGCTCGCAATGGCTATGGTACTCTGTTTATGCAAGGTACACTCCATTTGTTTTGTTAGGATATGTATTTTTGTGCTTCCTTGCAACTAACATGATGGTAATTAATATATTTGTGTTGAAGATGAGTTGTGTGTGCAAGTTTTTGTTTTAGTTCTAATTGTTTCTCTTTTTCTCCTTGTAAAATTCAGTAAACAAGTCAGTTGGCGCACGAGGTTTCTTGTGGTATCTGATTGGATGAGGAGATTCATACATGGAAGAGACTCCAGCTGCATCTAAGGAATTCAAAATAAATCTTTTATTCTGAATCAGCCTTCAGGAAGGTGAAGGGATACTACCCTCAGGACTTCTTTGCAATAAATTGTTACATTCTCTTGCCCTTTTATTCTTTTTCATTCCTGATAAAGGCCACGTTATTCTTTTCTCCACAAAATGAGCTTTTGACAACAACAAAAGCGTTTTGTTGGCTTATTATGATACCAACTATTTCTTTCGTTATAATTATCTTATAAAGGAACTGTTTGGTAGTTACCATGTTGAGTTGCGTAGTACAAGTAAAAGAATCATGTATATGGTTGGTTGTAATGGTATTACAATTACATCTGATTTATGAGTATTTTAGAGATTTAATACATCAACACCATCGGTGGTCATTATATATGGCATCAAGCAGATGGGGCTTGAATAACGCACATTCAGTGACATAAATCGGATACCTAAGCCTCAATATCTATTCTTTACGTATTGTGCTTGAATAACGTATGTGTGTATATATATATGTATGTGTATATATATATATATGTGTATATATATATGTGTGTATATATATATATATATACATATATATATATATATATACAT